GTTGGAAAAATATTGGCTTCGAACTTTATAAAATGGTAAAATAATAAGGATTTCCTTATAGTTGGTTCATATATTTTAATAATTCCGTAATTTTTTATAAATTTTAATAAAAAATTGTTTTCATATATATTTCTTTATAAATTGGTAAATGATAAATATTACATTGCATTAGTTTTAATTGTATTAGGTTTTAGAATGTTGTAAATATAAATTATTCGTGTAAATAAACAATCTAATAAATAGATAGTGTTTAATATTTTTGTTTTAAATTCTCATTCACTGTCATCAGATGTTCACATCTTATTACAATTCTAATCATTGCTTTTTAAAACAAAACAGGTTGCCGAGAAATGATGTTAGTTAAAATAATAGCTGCGTTAATGAGAAAAAACATAATTTTGACACTCCAGTGTCCATGTTTGTTAATATTTTACTAATTATTCCTCTAGATAACTAGTGAGCACTTTATTGACAATAATTCTGTTGACCTTGATATTCGTTAAATTATTAAATTATATAATTTTACGTATATCTCTAGGTGTTGCTACGCAATTGTCATTGATATTCATGGCAGTGTTAGGCACGAAGGAATATTCCCAATGGGCATTTACCAATTATAAGCATTATTATATATGTGATATAGTAAAGACTTAATAAACGGCCGAAACAGAATGGCTGAAAGAAGAAGAATTTATCCCACAAAGAAACTTTAACATATGGATACAACAAGCAGTTTGAAAAGGTAGAAAAAAGAGACGGTTTTACCTGTAATAATTTCCAACGGGAAAGGGGCAGGTTAATGGTTTACTTTATGTTTCTGGTGAGACCATGTGGCCATCTCTGTCCAACCTGACACTGTGGACTTGTGCCGTCAGTCTTCGCCGCAGCCTACATCGAAGCTGGCGTTCGGCACTCTGTGAAATGACGTCCCTCATCAGCCGTCGCTGGACGATAATTTGGCCCCACGTAATGCGCATAGTTGCTTTATACAAATCCTAGAATTTATCCATCTGCGTACCATTTAGAATCGTGGTCAGTTTAACACCGGAGCAGGAAAGGATAAGATAATTCTCAGTCCCCGTAACTAGTACCATGCTGGTGCCTGCCAACGTTTCTTTGGTTCAATACAGGTAGTGCTACCGTAGGTTAGTCTATATACAGACAAAACAATATGTCAACTACCAAAAATGTTTGTACCGATTCCAAACATGTCGGGAAAGTTCAAGAGAAACATTTTGAGGAGTATCTTAATTGCAAACAATTCCTTTTTTCTTTTTTCATTCCGAAAGTCCATAATTACTTTGTTATATTACAATCGATACAACTCTTCTTATTCTATTGAGACATTTTTTTGAAAAAAAAATTGTAAACAATTTTATCACTTACAAACATGGCAGTCAGGACACGTATTGATTAGCTGGTTTGTTTTTCAAAGATCAAAGTCCTTTTTCGTGAATTGATAAAACTTCTCTATCGTCTCACGGAACTTATTTTGTTTCAGTGAAAGAAAAACATGCAAAAATTGTAATTTGGCTATTTTTTCCTCCCCAGTCTGGCAAATTCTCGTTTCAATTAAGAAGAACTAAAACATCTTTTAAAGGAAGAAAAGAAGCCGATGGTATAATATATATATATATATATATATATATATATATATATATATATATATATATAGTAAAAAAAATCGTAAATTATCTCATATGGGGAATTACCTCATATGAGGTAACTTTGGATTTTATTCCCCATGTGAGGTAATTTGCGATTTTATTGTGCTCTGTAATAATAAATAGATTGAGCTCTTTTTGCGGATCAGTTTTAATATTTTATATTACTAGGTTTCACTTGGATTATATTCCAACGGATTTATTATCTTTACTATATATATATATATATATATATATATATATATATATATATTATTTTTTTATAAAAAAATTATAACATAAGTATGTTATAAAAATCACTACAAAATAGCCATTTTGTTTCAACACACTCTGTGTCTTATCAAGTGATGATGTTGAAAATAAAATAAATGGTTTTAAAAGTTTCAGATTAATTAACGATCCTACACTAGGGGGAAAATTGTTACAAAAGCTAGAATAACCAATCAAAAACGAAGTATAAAAAGATTCAAAAGCTTGACAACGAAATCCTGCTCTAATAGCTTTTCAGATCTTTAAATACGTGTAATATTAAAAATAATTTATACTAACTAATAATTATAAAATTATATGATAAAATTTATATTAAAATTAAAAACTGGCAATTTTAAAATCCAAATTTAATCACTATTAAGTTTAAAAACTACAAAATTATTGAGAAAAGAAAAAAAATATATATGTTTATTCAATTCATTTCTTCATTGAAATTACGTTCGACAAGACGCTACAATACATCCGGTCATTTGACAATACATGTATATATATTTTTTTTCCTTTTTCCCTTTCTTTTCCGTTTTTATTTTAAAGTTTGTGAATGTGGTCTTAAACTCACGCGTAAAACAACAAAAACACAATCAGATTATAATACATAAGCACCCAGACATAATTAGATATACACACCCACACACACACACACACACACACACACACACACACACACATACACACACACTAAAAAAAAAAAAGAGAAGGTGGGGGGGTTACATGAACATCTCTACAGCCCTTTATGAAAAAAGGAGACGTGGAAACTAACACTTATACACACACACAGTTAAATGTGAATACACTCTACATACACATAGACACCGATAGATACACATACATACATCCACATCAATGACATAGACAATGAGAAATCACAACCAATAAATATTTCAGACTTAAATAAATGCTAACCACTTATTGAATTATAACTTAAGGGAGCAAATATACAAAGATAAAAATGGTTAAAAATAATATTATTTAATATATTGAAACGAAAATTTTAAAACCATAAATATCAATAAAAATATATATTAATCATATAAGTTGATAATAGATTCATTATATATTAGGCAAAGAAAAACAAGATAAAGAAACCCACAGATATATACATATATATATATACACGGCAGCAAAAACAAATTAACACACATAAATATACACTCATACATACATATACATACAGAAATACATACAAATAAATATATAAACATAAACATATATGCACATATACATATCTATGATAACAAGGACACATGCAAGCACATATACATATAAACATATATATATATATATATATATTTATATATATATATATATATATATATATATATATGTATATATATAGTTGGATAGATAGATTGATTTGTGACCCACGGTTTCACGCTTTAGCGATCGTCAGACAACGATCGCTAAAAGCGTGAAACCCAGGGTCACAAACTCACATCTATCTATCCAACCAAATATGTTAGCTCTATCTCTGATATTGAGCGCTTTTCTAATAAGTACCATATATATAATATATAAATAATTATACATATATATATTTATTTATATTTATATACACTTTTCACATATATATATATATGTTCATACAGGTTCCATTAAATAATATAGACAAGTGTTGCCTATATATATATATATATATATATATATATATATATATATATAGGCATTCTTCATCATCACTTGATAAGACACCAAGGGTGTTGAAACAAAATGGCTATTTTTGTAGTGATTTTATAACATATTTATGTTATAAATTTTTTTTTATTAAATAATTATATCTGCTCTACTTTGTATTGAGCACACTTTTAAGAATAGTATTTGTTGCTTATTGGAATTCATTCCATATACACCAATCATATATTTCTTATATATATATATATATATATATATATATATATATATATATATATATATATATATATTTCCTCACCGGTAGCGAAGCTCTGGCAATGTGCGATATTATATATATATATATAATATATATTATACATCAAGCATGCAATTACAAAAATCAATCTTACACCAATAAATAATACATAAATTATATTTAACTTAATATAAAAATAAAGGTAAGGAGAAAGCAAGCATTCAATTGCTGGCATCTTCTGCCGAATAGACGGAACGATTGCTGAGATGCTGAATATAATATATATATCAGCTTTTAATTTTATATTTATATATATATATATATATATATATATATATATATATATATATATATGCATGAAACTTGAGATGCTGAATATAATATTAATCAGCTAATTTTATATTTGTATTAATCATATATATATATATATATATATATATATATGCATGAAACTTGAGATGCTGAATATAATACTAATTAGCTAATTTTATATTTGTATTAATCACATATATATATATATATATATATATATATATATATATATATATATATATATATATATATATATATATATGTGTGTGTGTGTGTATATGTATGTGTGTGTGTGTGTGTGTGTGTGTGTGTGTGTGTGCAAGTGTCATTAAAAATGATGTTCTGTATGTTCGAGCGCTTTCGGCTATACTTTTAGCCATTATCAAGGATGTTTTTAATTTTAACTGAATGTATGGATTTTTTGTGTATGTATCTAGAGTTATAGGATTGTTTTATTGTCCAAACACTATAAATTTAGATACGCATATAAAACAATCTATGCATTCAGTTAAAAGTAAAATCAATCGCTAGAAAAATTATGACTGAAAAGTGAGTTCGATTTTCCCTCGGTGCCCCATACTTTTGGCCTTGTGTCAGATCTAAGATACGCTTAGAGAATCAACACCTTATAAAGAAAAAGAGTCTGGAGAAAAAGGGAAAAAAAAATTCTTACTAGCAGTAAGGTTTAGCTTCCCATATTGTCACGTGACCGATACGTGGCAATGGATATGCGAGTGGTTGTTTCAAAGTTCTCTGCTTGCTCAAAATAATCCTGAGTTTGACTGGCCATTCGGGAATCGAAAACATCTTAAAGGAAAGGCCTCACTTCTAATCTGTCTTTTTTTTTTTCTCTTTTGCTCGTCACATTAGCGATTTGGATGCTCCACAAGATGCATGAAATATGCCTCCCGATGAGGTATCATCGTAAAGCAAACACCCATCTTAGTTTTGTAAAAAAAAAAAGGTTATACTTTTATTTTCATATTTAAGAGCGTCTTTCCTTGAAGAAATGAGTTTAGGAAAAAAAGATTAAAACAAATTGCTCAAATTCGTCCACTTTAACCGTAGATATATTTTTCCATCCCTTCAGAGCTTATGGGATCATGGCTACCCAGAGATTACATTTTAATAATTATCCGCGTAAAATTGCGACCTCTTGGGAAAGAGAGTGGAGTTGGTTACGGTTTCCGTATTCAAGGTTTTGATTTCAAAAACTATCACACGCGGCTAGAGATCCCAGTCTACCCTGCTATTGAACACAATGTTTGAGAGATGCATCCGTTTCCCGACGTCATTAGTTCACTAGTGAAAAGAATAGGTCGGAATTTAATCTCAGTCTGGCGATTCCACTTTTTACGCTGATAACTGTTACATAGCTCGCACATCGTGTAGCAGCAGGGGTACACAATAAAATATCTTTTTTTTCGAATCCAATCCATCGTCAATTTGTGAGTAAGCTGGCCTTTTGATATCATCGGAACGTGGAGTCTGTCTCCTAAGTGTGAGTTGATCTTGACCTTATGACTAAATAGACAGAATTGTTTCAGAAACGGCCGATGGTCATGCTAGCAGAAGTCTTCGTGACCGAGGCCTTGCATATGCTGGCCTTGTTCAAAATGTTGATCGTGACAGCTCATGCGCGCTCTTCCAAGAATTGTATCAAAGGCCCGCTCAACATAGCTGCGGTATGTGGGTGTTGGGCGAACACCTGCAAAAAAGATTGACTATATTACTCACACTTATTAAGCACGACTTTTACAATGACAAAGGGAACCGTTACAATTTTTATTTCCTTTTGATCTTTTTGAAGAATAAAATAATTACCATCATTAAGTTTGATAGGAAATAACTTTGTATAAGAGATACGTATTTGGGGGACTGTATTTATTTAAAGAAATATGGTTTAAGAACTAATGGTAATGGGGTAGTTGGTAAGAGTTAATATTTCTAATAGCCCATTATAGGCATTAGTATATCGGTGATATGCTAACACTTTAGCACAACGGGAGGAAGGACTAGGACAGCTTAAAGAAATGAATGCCAAATATGCTTTGTGCACGCGGAGTTCTTATATACTGCTGTTTCGTACAAGAAATTATATACAAATATATTACGAAATGGACAAAGTCTGACAGTTATTTTAAGACATTTTTATGTTTATACATTCTTTTTATAGATACAAATATTTAAGTAAATGCTCTGTTTTATAATAAACAGTATTAAACAACATTTACCGGCCTGAATGTCCGAGAAATTTTCACAGAAAATATTCGTCCTCCGACTGGATTCGAACCTGTATCCTATACGGAACCGTCATTTAGCTTGACGTGCCTTTAACCGATTTGGCCACAGAGGAGCGTTCGGTTAGCAAGGTCGAATTTTACTGTATTTGAACTTCAATCTTCTATGAATCTCTCACGTACATTCATATCTGCTGATGGCGTATCAAATGTAAAGAAATGACCTCACATATTATGAAATGGACAAAATCCGACAATTATTTTAAGACATTTTTATGTTTATACATTCTTTTTATAGATACAAATATTTAAGTAAATGCTCTGTTTATAATAAACAGTATTAAACAGCATTTACCGGCCTGAATGTCATAGAAAATGTTCGTCCTCCGACAGGAATCGAACCTGTATCCTATACGGAACCGTCATATATTTATAAAAAAATGTCTTAAACTAATGTTCAAATTTAATTTAAATCAAAGGGAAAAAATTCAGTGGGGAGGTTGTGCCTCTCGAGGACCCACTTTGATCAAAATAACATATACCTATCCATGTACCCTGAGTAATGTAGTTTTAGAATAAATATGGTTATGGCGGTCTACCTCCGAAATCCTAGAAGGAGTTCGATAAAAAACAGACACACAGACAGACAGAGGCTGTATAATCTATAGAGATTAGAAATAAAACATATAAAAGGGATATATGAAAACAAAGACAGATGGTTTATCAATAATGTAGGTAGTTATATAGCCAAAACTTTTGCTGCATTTTGGAAGAAAACGACGCTTATTTGAAATTTTTAAAAAAACACAGATTTTAGTGTAACCCATTCCCAATGGGATGCTTCCCCGATCATTACAATCTAAACCTGTTCAAAAACGATGGTCAACAGTTATGTTCCCCACATATCCCCATAAACTGTGCCGCTTACTCTGTAACCCTCTACCCCGAGTGGCTTTCGAGCCTTGTAGAGGGATATCATCATGGTAAAATAAGTTGTGAGGAGGTTTATACTATGCCGGCGCTCATTGAAATCTACTTCTTGATGATACGGCGCTAATTCTAAGGCGGTGTTTATTCTGGGGTGAAGCTTTTTTTTTTCGTGGAGGGCTCTTAATCGGGAAATATGTAATCACTGAAATGGGTGTGCGCCTGGTATAATGGATTAAGGCTCGGATTAAGAAATCAGAGAGTCGAGTTTGAATTCTAGCTGAGTTCGATATAATTAATGGTTTTTTTACATATGTATAGGCGCTCATTTGAAATTGACCTCGAGCCGCCTGTACTGCTTTTGATGATATATATATATATATATATATATATATATATATATATATAATCTTTCTCTTAAAAGCTTTTGGCAGGTTTTCTCCAATTTATCTTGGGTGTTTATTTTATTTCAAGTTGTTTTCTTGATTGTCATTATTTTCGATTCGAGTTAGATGTGCTATCCATTTTAGTTGTTGGTGCTGTTGGTAGTCCTCAAGTGATGTGGTTTCTGTAATTTGGTACAGTTCTTAGTGATTCTGTAGCGCCAGTCCACAAAGTTCAAAAAAAGGTGATCTTTGCCAAGAGCCACAGGCTTTAGTCACGTAAAGCTTTTGTATAAGCACTTCCATATAGGAGAAGGGTATCTGTACCGTCTACCTCGGGTTTAAGAGTCTTTAAGCAACGTTTCTGCTTTGGCATATTGTATTATCTGTGCGCTTTGACCAACTTAGTATTAGTAAAATAATTTAACCTTGCCGTTGAAGTATCAGAATACTGATGAAATATTACCTCCAGGTCAGACGTTTGAATCAAGTATTCATTAATTAATTTTAAGTAACTATTTTCATTGACGGACAGAGAAGAGAACGAACACAGGAAAACATCACGCGGTTTATTGTTTTTATACAAGCTGAGGCCGAAAGAACGGACGTTTTTGAACAATTCATAAGACCATTAATTTTAGCTTCAATTTTTTTTTATTGGCATCCTTGTGTTCGTATTGAATTAGTATTTGATAAAATCGCGTGAAAAACAACATCCATCTTGTGGTGTCCGTTTTAATTAATGCACTTCTGAAGGCATTCTTGGAAGTTTGCCTTCACTCTTTCCAGCATTTCCCTGTCGTATTGGGTGACTTCCACGCAAATAGCTTCTTTCAAATCGTCCAATGTGCGGAGCTTATGATAATGCGCACGCGCCTTGAGGTTTTCCCCACGAGAAATGATCACACATGGACAAATCAAGGGAGGAGGGGGACCAAGGAGTGTCATTAAATCTGGAAAAGAGGCGGTCACCAAAGAGAGGGTGAACAACGACTATTTAAGTTATGGCTGTGTGGGCCGTCGCCCCATACTGCTGAAACCATGCACATCGGACAGGAATATGTTTTCATCGTAATTCAGGCACAAAGAAGTTGTTCATCATCTCGATGTAACGCTTGGAGCTCACAGTAACAGTATTTCCATTATGGTCTTCAAATAAGTAAGGACGAATAACGCCTGCTTTTTCAATAGTACACCAAAACGTCATTTTTGGACTCTGCAGTGGTCTCGGATTTTCTAGAACCTAATAACGACAATTGTGTTCATTTAACATACCACTAAGGTGAAAATGAGCTTCGCAACTCATTAACAGAATTAGGTTGTGATTTTCCTAAAAAATTGTTTCCATCTGACGTACGAAGTTAAGCGGCTGTGCATTGTCCACTGGTCTTAACTGCTCCCCGATAACCAGTTTGTACGGGTGGAAATGCAGTTCTTTATGCAAAATATGCATTACTAAACTATTGTCGATGTCAAGTTCAGTAGCATGCCTCCGGACAGCAAATCTTGTCTGACGCGTTCATATTTTCTCGGGTACGCACCGTTCGTGGAACCCCCACCGGTCTGTAACTCATTAGTGTACCTTGTGTACGAATCGCATGAACCCAACGTTAGATTGTGTTACGTGTGGGAACAGTATGATTTCAGTGAATGTTGAATCGGCGATGGATTCATGGTGAATTTCTGTGACAAAATCGTTATTCTTTACGAAACACACGGTGCTCTATCGTTCATAGCGCCATGACTTCATCTGAAAAGAAGAAAAAAATGGCCAAGACACCACGGACCGAATTGTATATGTCGGACACATGTTCTTCACCCTGGGGTCAGAATATCAGCCATTTCAATAATGTCAGTCCTTTTTGCCTCACCTTGTATTAGGGTGTTCGTAAGGTAATACGCAAAAAAGACTATCGCAGAGATATGCTGCATAGCAACACTTTAAGCGTACTACTAGTTGACCATTATACATCTGACCAGAACTTCAACTTAAATAATGCCAGTCTGATGAGGAGAGAGAAACGCATTCACTACCTAACAAATGCAATTCTTGACAATAAACCAGAATAATACATGATATCGATGATCATCATAAAATAGTAGCACAATGCGGGGTACGGGTTAATGGGTGCGCTATGGAAGAAACAATTTTGTCGTCGTTCGTATTTCCCCCATTATGAGTATTATCATATCCAGAATATAAGGAAACCTATTTCAAGGACGGAACGGAATAGCTGAAAGAAAAGGAATAACAAACATGCTTTGTTTTCAGAGAGAATTCTATGCAGCTAAGTCATACACAATATTATATTTACATATCTCCCAAACAGAAATTATATCACATGCCTACAACAACAAGCAGTGTTCAAAAAAAAAGAGCGTCTTGCTTGTAATATTTCCCCGAAGGGAAAACTAGAGGTACAGTGGTTTATCTTTGCACCTGGTGAGGTCATGTAGTTTTCCCTGTAAGACCTACGGCCGTGGTCTAACGACGTTCTTCGGGATTTTACATAACAACTGTTACTATCTTCTGACGTCTGATGTCACTCAATGGCCGACAGGTGGCTCTCGTGACTTTATCTCAACCAAATTTTAGCTCTTTCAGCCTGGGCCGAGGAAATATGGCAGACGTCATCTTAATTTTTCCTGTTTTATTTTTCTTTTTTTCTTTTGCCTCTACGGAGCGGCTTCTTTGTCTTTTTGAAGATGGGGAAATTTCATAGTGTTTTGGGGAGAAGGACTACAAGTAGGATATGAGATGTGATTTTTTTTCCTGAAGGTACTGGAATTTTACTGAGAGGGGTGCGTTATTTATAAGGCGATGCGTAGATGAAAGGTTTTGTGATGATTTCACAGCAGGGGAGGGCAGGGTAGCAGTCAAGGGGTATACCGCCTTTTTTGGTGGTGAATTTTTGCTTTGTTTAAACTCTAATTTATCGTTTCAATTGTTTCGTAACCAGCATCATATTTCTCTTACAGTTCTTGAAATGGAAAGGTTTGTGAGGCCGAGGCGTCGACCTTAACACTGGTTGAGAGTGTGGGGATGTCCTGGGGGGAGTTTAAGGAAACACAGGTCCCGCTGTCTGGTGCTTCCATCTAATGCTACCAACAACCAGTTATTCCTTCTTTTTCTTCTCCACAACTGCGCAAACAGCAGCAAAGATTTTTTTTTTGAGGAATGTGGGCTGTGAACGAGACATAACCGGGGTTTTGACCACTGCGGTGCTGGTCGCAGTCGTGCCCATCACAGTCGACACGGAAATGAACCAAACAAGTAGAATAAGTCGCATTATTACTGATTTTATTTAACTTGTGGTTGATAGGTTTTATTATGACGCTGACTATGAGTTATCTCGTGCCGACTGAGTTGTATCGTGCCAAACACAAATTATCACGTGTATTTCAGCTGCGATTTCCTGAGGTTGACCTTCGAGGTCAGATGCAAGCCAAAATAACGAAGTCGATTTTGATTGGCAGAACTAGTGGGGGAATGATAGATAGCGGACGATTTTTAAGGCGCCGTGTCTTACGCGTTAAGCAATGTGGACGTGTTCACTTTCGAGGCTGAAACGGCTCCCCAGTGAGAGGGGGAACGCCCCCCCCCCCACTGCATAATTACTACATGTCGACGTTAATAAATTAGTTAAGTTAAAATTATCTTTGGTAATGTCTTTTATATCTGAAGCAAAAATATCAAGCGATCACCGATTTTATCGAATTGGCTGACACCCCAGCATGTTATAAAACATTGTATTATATTGGCGCCGTTGAATAGGACCTCCCGGCATGAGGAGGCTATGTAATAGTTACCTCCAGCCGATTACGAGTTATATCGTGCCAACTACAACACATTATTCATTAATATATATGTTTCTATCTACGTCTTTGAAAACAACCTGCACGTTGTAAGAAATATCATTTATGGACAGCTATTGGCACGGGAAGGACAGCTTTGTTTCGTGAGTAACGCCATTTGGTGTTTGCAGAAAGTTTTCAATCTTTCGAGTATTGTTTTGATTTCTGTTTAACATTTCCCTTGGAAGTTGATCGGCGTCGATGTATGGCGGGAATTGGGAAGAGAGCAAAAACAACAATGCCAGTTGTGACAAAATCTGTCATGTGAACATCTCACCAGAGGAAGCGTTGTCGGAATTTCCTCTGTTTACTGCCACCATCACTTACTCAAAAAGCACTTGACGCTAACTGCGTCTTGTGCGCGACTCGAAATACCAAACCAACGAATATTACTATCTTTCTTGTACCCTGCCTCCAGGAATCTATCGATCCATCTTTGAGTTTGACATATCATTTCAATTTGTTTATTTTACTCTCTCCCACAAACTCGTTATAGATCTATTTACCTACCTATCTATCTATATCAGTCTCTTAATTATCTATCTGCCTATCTATCTAAATAAATCTTTATCTATCTATCTATCTATCTATCTATCTATCTATCTATCTATCTCGGTCTTCTATCTATCTATCTATCTATCTATCTATCTATCTATCTATCTATCTAGTTCAGTCTCTTCATTGTATATCTATCTATCTATCTATCTATCTATCTATCTATCTATCTATCTATGTCAGTCTCTTCATTGTATGTCTGTCTGTCTGCCTGCTTATCTATCTATCTCGGTCTCCTATCTATCTATCTATCTATCTATCTATCTATCTATCTATCTAGGTCAGTCTCTTCATTGTATGTCTATCTATCTATCTATCTATCTATCTATGTCAGTCTCTTCATTGTATATCTATCTATCTATCTATCTATCTATCTATCTATCTATCTATGTCAGTCTCTTCATTGTATGTCTGTCTGTCTGCCTGCTTATCTATCTATCTCGGTCTCATCATATCTATCTATCTATCTATCTATCTATCTATCTATCTATCTATCTATCTAGGTCAGTCTCTTCATTGTATGTCTGTCTGTCTGCCTATCTATCTATCTATCTATCAACGTCAGGCTGTTCGTGATCTACCTAGTTTCTAAATTATCTATCTATGTATCTATCTATCTGTTGTAACCTGGGAAGGTTACTGAATAGCATAATCAAACGAATGTTGGCAATGAATGATAATACTTAGTACAAGAACAACACATATAAAAATCGCCAGCGGCGCGTACAAGTATTCAACTGCTATAAGTGAGTCAAGTGAATTCCACAATGAATCTCCAGCTGCAGGATATCTACTAACCACTCCACGCGGTGAGATGTGGCACAGGGCCGAATATAATATGTGGGGTATCCGAGCCCGTAGGCTCCGCCAAAAATTCCTCGTATATCCCGTATAAAACGGGATCCGTAGCTGTTTAACCTAGACGAGACTCTGCCGTTCGACATAGCCTCGCCTGGGGGTCCTCTATGTCCGGAGGCAGAGAATTTGACCAGTACAGCTGGAGAGGAATCTCCAACTGTAGACCAACATACAGTATTTACTATTGTATTTATGTGAATGGGACCATACCCATTATCGTCCGTAGGTGTGCTACAGCACTATCTGTCTATCTAAGTCTTCTAATTACCGTAATTCCTCATGTATAACATGAATATTTTTCTAAAAAATAAGAAGCAAAATCATGGGGTGTGTATTATGCAAATTTAAAAAAAAATTAATAAAATTGCCATAAAATAAGAATTATCATAAAGCAAAATTTAAATAATATTATTTTATGTTTAAAACTGTTTTTTTTTTTTAAATAAGAGTGCGAAACGCTGGGTGTATTGAAATTAGGGAGATTGAATTTATAGGGGTTGATTACCAAAGAAGGGGTTCGTATTATGCGTGAGTAGAAGCATTTTCCACACGTTCAGCACAATTTTAGGTGTACGTATTATGGATGAAGGTTAATTATACATAAGAAACTAGACTATCTATCAGATAGATACTGTAAATTCTTATGTATAAGCCAATATCTATCTATCTATCTATCTATGTCAATCTCTTCATTGAATATCTATCTAACGATCTATCTATGCCAGTTTCATCATTTCATATCTATCTATCTATCTATCTATCTATCTATCTATCTATCTATCTATGTCAATCTCTTCATTGAATATCTCTAGCGATCTATCTATCTATGCCAGTTTCATCATTGCATATCTATCTATCTATCTATCTATCTATCTATCTATCTATCTATCTATGTCAGTCTCTTCATTGTATATCTGTCTATCTCAGTCTCTTAATCATCTATCTATCTATCTATCTATCTATCTATCTATCTATCTATCTATCTATCTATCTATGTCAATCTCTTCATTGAATATCTATCTAGTGATCTATCTATCTATGCCAGTTTCATCATTTCATATCTATCTATCTATCTATCTATCTATCTATCTATCTATGCCAGTCTCTTAATTATCTATCTATCCATGTTAGATCTATGATCTGTCTGTCTATCTATCTACTTATATCATTCTGTTCATTATTTATCCATCTGTTTATCTATTTACGTCAATGTATTTCTTATCCATTTATTTATCTATCGATATCCGTTCATCAGTTTGTTCATATCTTCTTTTTTTTCTATTATTTAAATCTTCCACATTCTCCCCTTTCTCTATCACTATCACTATTTCTCTCTCCCCCGCCCTGCCTTGCCATGAGGGAGGCACTCAGAGGACAGCAGTTCTACAATGAGGCGAATGAGAAAATTCGCACATGCAGCCAAAGCAGCCAAGAAGGTACATTTAAAGGTGAAATCGTAATACCGACTTAATAAATGCCAGTCTGATTAGGGGAGAAAAGGATTAACTAAGAAAAATGCACTGAGGGTGCGTTAATCTCAACATTTCTCGAAAATATAACTAAGAAGAGGATCATACATAACATCAGCGATCGTCATGAAAACAATAGTACCACAATTCGGTATTCAATCTCATAGTCAAATAAAAACATTGGGATATGTCCGGACTGGACTGATTTAAAGTCCAACAGATACAGGAAATTAAATATAAAAATATCTTTCTTACTTGTCCATCTTAGCCTCAAAAATCTTAACACATTTTACACAAATTTTGTCTTTCATTCCATTTTGAAGACGACAAATCTAACGCAAGCCATGATTCCACTCGTCATTTTAATTCAAGATCTACTAGCCGTTATGCCACTAGCCATTTTATTTCATAATCTGCTAGCCATGATCCAAACTGCCATTTCATAGACCATTTGTCCGGGTTGCACTAGTCATTTTATTTCAAAGTGCACCAGCCATAACAATAGGCATTTTATTTCATAATTCAATACCCATGATTCTGCTTGCTATTTTATTTCAAAGTCTACTACACATGACATCACTAGCTGTTATATATCCGCTAGCCATGATTGCAACTGGCCATTTTGCTTAAAATTCCCCTAGACATGATTCCACTAGCCAATTTATTTTATAGTCCACTAGTCATGACTACACTAGGCATTTATTTTTCATTCCACTATCCATGATTCCATTAGCCATTATATTTCTAAAATCTATAGCCACAATTCCATTAGCCATTTTATTTCCTACCCTTGATTCCACTACCCTTTTGTTTCAAAGACCAGTAGCCATGATTCCCTTTACCATTTTATTTCATAGTTCGCCAACCATGATTCCACTAGCTATTTTATTACAAATTCCACTAGCCATGATCGCACTAGCCATTTTATTTCAAAGCCCACTTGACATTTTATTTCAAATGTCATTTGCTATGATTCCAGTAGATAGTTATTTCATAGTCAGCTAGACATTATTCCACCAGCCATTTTAGTTCATATTCCTGCAGCCATGATTCAACTAGCCAATTTCTTTCAGAGTCTTCTAGTCACGATCTCACTTGCCATTTTATATCAGTCTACTAGGCATGATTCCACTAGGGATTTTAATTCATAATCCAGCAGAGATGATTCCATTAGCGATTATCTTTCAAAGTCCACAAGCGATGATTTCACTAATCAATTTATTTCAAAGTCCACTAGACATGATTTAATTATCCATTTTATTTCAAATTTCATTTGCTATGATTCCACTAGACATTTTTATTTCATAGTACCCTACACATGGTTCCACTAGACATTTTATTTCATAGTACCCTACACATGATTCCACTAGACATTTTATTTCATAGTACCCTACACATGATTCCACTAGACATTTTATTTCATAGTACCCTACACATGGTTCCACTAGACATTTTATTTCATAGTACCCTACACATGATTCCACTAGACATTTTATTTCATAGTACCCTACACATGATTCCACTAGACATTTTATTTCATAGTACCCTACACATGATTCCACACATGATTCCACTAGACATTTTATTTTTATTTCATAGTACCCTACACATGGTTCCACTAGACATTTTATTTCATAGTACCCTACACATGGTTCCACTAGACATTTTATTTCATAGTACCCTACACATGATTCCACTAGACATTTTATTTCATAGTACCCTACACATGATTCCACTAGACATTTTATTTCATAGTACCCTACACATGATTCCACTAGACATTTTATTTCATAGTACCCTACACATGATTCCACTAGACATTTTATTTCATAGTACCCTACACATGATTCCACTAGACATTTTATTTCATAGTACCCTACACATGGTTCCACTAGACATTTTATTTCATAGTACCCTACACATGATTCCACTAGACATTTTATTTTAACGTCCACTATCCATGATTCCAATAAGCATTTTATTTCAAAGTCTAAATCCAAGATTCCACAAGCTATTTCAACGTTCTCTAACCATGATTCCACTAGATCCATGCTATACAGAACCTAAAATATGTTAACCTTATGAACACACGATTTCTTTTTTTATTTACTTTCACTCTATATTTTTAAATTACATTTTACTAATTCCAGTTCAGTTTTTATTTGTTATAAGGTAACCCACAGTGCTAACTTTTAATCATTTCACCCTCAGCTAAACGACAATGCCGCGAAGATGCAATGGTTTAGCGGGAGTGAAAGAGAATGTGAGGACTTTAGAGGGGATTGGAAACCCAATTCTAAACAGCAAACCTGTGATAAACTTCTACTCCTGTCAAAAACAAAACGAGTATGAATCGGGAGATAGGCAAATCTACCTACTCCTATTTAGTTCGAAATGGTGAAGTTGCCTGGTCGTATATACCAATCATCTTTTAGGATAGCATACATGTGCAGTTGGCGTGTTGTTTAATTTCAAGCCTGTTTTTGTATAGTTTTTTTTTCATTAAATTTCGGGAAGTTTTACTGATGTGTTCTTGGGTTTATTTTCTCTTCAGTTACGCCTATATGTAAAATTAACTATCTTTATTATTTTGGTTACATTTTAAAATTTAGAATTATTTTGCAGTTAGCTAAATTGATTTCCCTTTCATTAGATATGGAATGTATGATATAATACCATATGCAAAGTTGTTATGTTCATACAATACTTTTCTTTTTTTGTTGTGTTTGTAGATTTTGTACGCTTTTCATTTAGCATTATATATGAAATAGTGGTGTAGTGGAAGATGAGAAACATATTTACAATCTGTTTCTCTTTCTCATGCTGAAATTCGGGGCTGAAATTCTAAAATAAAAACCTATGATTATTCCAGCTTTTATTTGCTGCGTATAAAATATATGAGATTGTTTATAAGATTGGGAACCAGCGTCATGAGTTCCAGCGCCCTACGAGGCAGCGTCATGAGTTCCAGCGCCCTACGAGGTTGGCATCCCGCTCTCACCCCTTCACTGTCGAAACTCCTAAATGTAGCCGTCTCTTCTACTCTAATAGCTACATGTCTTGCACCTCTCGCCTGTGGAACTTCCTTCCCTTCTCCTGTTTCCCTGTGAGCTATAATCTCCAGCTATTCAAATGTAATGTCAATCGACATCTCCAGTTGCCTTGATCTATCCACTACCCTCATCCTTTCTTCTATCACTCCTATCTGATCTTGCTCTATATTTTCTGTAACCCCTTGCGTCCTCGTGGCTTCCCGCCTTGCTTGGGGTGAAATGCTTAAAAAAAAAAAAATTGTTTATGGTGTGTCTTAAACTAATATCTGTTCGATTAACACATCATCAAGAAATGATGTTCTTAGTTATTTTTCACATGTGAATTTAATTGTAGATTCGGCTTTGCTTAGTTTATTAGGAGATCTAATTAGTTAGTATAGCATGGATATATTAGTAAGTCATTTATAGATCGTAAGTATTCAGTACCTTGTAGTAGGATATGTTAAAAAGCTCCACATTCATGTATTATTTATTCTTATTATAATAAATATTAATAATGAAATGTTCTGTTGGAGGAGGGGCTCAGTTTCTATTGTAGAAAATGTGACGTAGATTTTTATTTGGAGATAAATTCAAATGTCGTAGGATGCTGATATGTCGCTCTCTATGACTGATGTAATGAATATGCATACGCGCAGTAATATGATTGGCTGGTATCACCCATAAATACAGATTGATGTGGAGGTACAAGAACGACGCCTATTGCCTACGCCTATTGCCTACGCCTATTGCCTACCACTACGACGAGGACCAGTCCATTACGGTTACCTGATAGATTATCCTACACGGTTACAGTCGTCCAAAACCACATTGCTACTTCGAACAAATATATCCCTTTCCAGGACATATCAATAACAATAAGGCAGATTTTATACTCAACAGATTAAGCAGGGCAGCACACTAGAATATTTCATAAGTTGTAGACCAGAAAGAAGTTGAATTTTTTTTCTGATGACATTTTTAATAACACAATTTACTTTTACAAACGGAACTGTTCTTGTGAAGTTTTTTTTTTTTAAATATAGATAAATTTATATACTGAAAAAAAGTTTGAACAAAGTAACTATAAACAATTTTCTTTTCTATCCTCTGCCAGCCGCAATGATGGAGAAAGCAATACCTTGAACCATGGCCAGTGAGACACGCTGCAAGAACCACTCCGTTTCGCAAGGCTCGTCCCTTAATCGAGACGCAATCGCGCCAAACCCCCGAAGGAACGCCATCGAACGAGGGCCAATAACCCCAGAAGTCTCCACTGCCACAGGAGTAAAAAAAAAAATCTATCAGCAAGAGAAGAATATTTAACTATTTTTTTTTTTTTATCTCTGCGTCCCGGTAGACGGAGACCGGCTCAACCGCGGACCTGATCAAATTACCGGCCGAAAATGTATCCGCACAGGTCGCATCCCAAATCAACGACTTCCCCATTTTAAAAGGGAAAATGATAATGCCATCCGGCCGCTTTCCATCACCGCGGTCGAGGCCTACGGGTTCGATTTGAGAAGGGAACCCAGCTGCATCCAAACCTCTTCTGATGATATCGTTAATGGCTGCATGCCGTGGAAAGCGACCGACGCTATGACGACAGGAGAGAGGATGCAAACCAAACTCATCGATGGAGGCTACACATCTGCATCTGTGACGCTCACATAATTTGAGTCCAAGACAGATCCCGACTCCGACTCGTGTGCATTCATCATCTAGAAAGGTGCCGGTAGATTAAAAGTAACAAAGAACATCATTTCTTGATAATGTCTTTATACATTTCTTTCAACATCGTATCGAAAATATGGATTCCTATTGGCTGCGATCGTTGAAAATATGAGGTGATTAAGTTTTTAATAAATAATATTGAAATAAATTTAAATCACATGTTAAATAAAGTGTTAAAAACATGTTGCGTTATTTTTTCCCCGTTGACAGCGATCGCTGAAAAAGGTGATTATATTTTTTGGAAATAATATTGGAATAAATTTAGATTACATCAGTTTTTATATCCTTTTCAGTAAAAAGTAAATACTTACCCAACAATCTAAAATATCCGATGATTAAATTTAAAAATCCAGTTGTTAATGTTGTAACTACATTCATTTTTTAATGACTACATTTAAAGGCAAAGCACAACGAAGCAGAAAACCTTATACTGTTCCTTATTATGAATGTAACGATTAAAAAGAAGTAGGGATCGACTTGTTAATTTTATATCTCTTGCTTTAGCGTGACAGTATTTAAAGACAGAATGAACCAAACATATAGAAGTCGCATTATTCATGATTTTATTTAACTTATGGTTGACTGTTATTTTTTTTCTATTATGAGTCTGACTGCCAGTTTTATTGTTCCGACGAGGAATTATCTCCTGCCGACAAAAAGGTATCTCGTGCGGACCACGAGTTGTCTCGTGCCGAATACAAGCTACCTGCTGCCGACTCAGAGTTATCTCGTGCGGACAACGAGCTGTCTCGTGCCGAATGCAAGCTACCTGCTGCCGACTCAGAGTTATCTCGTGCGGACCACGAGTTGTCTCGTGCCGAATACAAGCTACCTGCTGCCGACTCACCACGAGTTGTCTCGTGCCGAATACACGACCTGCTTCAGAGTTGTCTCGTGCCGAATGCAAGCTACCTGCTGCCGACTCAGAGTTATCTCGTGCGGACAACGAGTTGTCTCGTGCCGAATACCTGCTGCCGACCAGACTCACAACGAGTTGTCTCGTGCCGAATGCAAGCTACCTGCTGCCGACTCAGAGTTATCTCGTGCGGACAAAGAGTTGTCTCGTGCCGAATACAAGTTACCTTCTCTGACTACGAGTTATCTCGTTGTTAGCATTTTCTGATACATTTTCATCTACGTGCGCCAACTACGAGATTATTCCCACTGATACTTTCATTGTGAAAACAATGTTAAAACTTAATTTTAAGCTAAAAATCAACTCAATTTTTTTATTGCCTAAATGGGCTATTATAAAGTTGCTGTTTGAAGTCAGATTTCGTAATTGACCTTTTGGCGGTCAAAAAGGTTAACTGGTTCCAAAAACCACCACGTCACCTGGTTTTTGACGTAAATGGGCGTAATGCCTTAAAATTACCTTAACCCTAGAACACTAACTATAAATTAAAATTACACCACTACTAACCATGGGTATATCATACCCGATTTTGAAAATATCAAAAAGAAATATTAAATATAAATCTTTATTTGAAATATTTTACATGCAGACACTTCAAAATTTGTACTTTGTGTTAACATTAATAGGAACTGAAAAGCATTATTTAGGTAAGAAAATCAGGTGCTAAAAAATTGTAGTTAAAAATAGGAAAATTTGCACTGGGTACTATATACCCATGGTTAGTGTTCTCGGGTTAAAATGCGGAACAAACCCCGAAAATCTAGCGTAAGGAATTGGCAACGGAATATATCTATCGCTAAACCTGAAAGAAAACTAAAAACACATTTTAGTCGTATTTCTAGAAAAGAATGAACAGAATAAAATTACAAGTTTCGATGGGTAAATTGTTGCTATTTTATATTTTTAATTTCGCAAATGCGTCTTGTTTTTGATTTTGTCGACTGCACAGTATAGTACAGTCAGTTGGGCACCGTCTGTGAGAAAAAGAGCACCATGACACCATTCACTCCGTCAGAAATTTGGAAACGGCGTGCTGTACTGCTTGGCATTCGCACCGGAAGCTTCAATACGAAGATTTCAGAGTGCTTGCGTTTAAATCTGAGGACAGTGCAGAGGATTCGGAAAGAGTTGAAAGGTGTTTGGAGTGATCACGAGTGATGGCGACGTTATGCCACCATTGATCGTCCAACAGGGCCTCAGATACAACACAGAGGCTTACATCAAGTGCCTTGAGGAGGTAGTGTTGCCCTAGGTCAAGAGGGCGGTTGTTGGAAGCCTATGCCTAGCAACGGAACTCTGCAAGATGCAACACAAGCAGGAGAACACAGTCATGGCTGTCAGACAATTCTTGTGACCACATCACCCCTTACATCTGGCCACCTAACTCCCCAGACGAAAACCCCCTTGATTATTATGTGTGGAGCACAGAGTCCAACAAAACTCTTTGCAACACTAAAGATGAACTGAAGACAAGGATTATGGCAGCTTTCATCAAGTTAAACAAGGAGACTGTTCAGAAGAGTTGCAGGAGATTCCAAAGTTGTCTGGAAGCGGTGGTTGAAGCCAATGGCGGTTTTATTGAATAAATTTATATAAAAATTTATATAAATTATATAAAAAATTAAAAAATATAATAATGACATAATAATAAATATCTTATTCTTAAAATAATATCATTTTATAATATTATAAAATAAATATTTTAAAAATAAAAATAAAATATTATATAAAAATAGATCTTATTTAAATAATAATATATAATAATAAAAATTACAATAAAAAATATAAAATTCATACAAATTATATAAATACTATATAAAGTTATATAAATATCTATATAAATTTATTTTATTGAATAAATTAATAGTCTTTCCAGATATTATAGTGTAATTTTGGTAAATATATTTAACATGAGATGTCAGTGTTAATTTCATTTTTGAGTTATTTACATGACAATTTATCCATCGCACCCTGCGTATTATTTAATGTGCCTTTCGCCCTTAAAGATGCCGTAAGCATGACGACAAATATCGTAAAATTAGCTTAAACAACTCACAGAAGAATATAACTCACCTTAAGATATTAAAGAATTGAGAAAATAACTTATTTTATTTTTAATTTCTGTGTATATTGGCCGGGATGAAAGCGTAGTATCTGTTCTTTCCTCAATTGAAATGGGAACAGGCGCTACCGATCTCGGAGTCTTCGGTCCTGAGGCAGCATCTTCTTCGTTGTACAAATATAAGTGGGACCGGTATGACAAAGTGACAGTGGGGTCACGGAGATGGGTCAGTTTTTATCCTTGACCTGTATGCATGTGTATGGGCATCCTAAGTTAAGAAAAAGACTTTGTGTCACTTCCTGCCTAAGTCATTTTTTTAATTAATGTCCTTTTATTATGATGCGGGGTGGGGGGCGTTGCTGCGAGACGTAGCTTTGGGCGTTGGTTGATTCGTTTTTTACGGCTTATCAACCCTTTCCACGTTATTTGAAAACAGAATTTTCTTTTATTTTTAGATTGTAAGAAATTTTATTTTTGAAGCTAATAATGATTTAGTTACATAAGCTTTACTAGTTAACCCATAGCTAGGGGGGAGGAGAGGTGGATTCATACTTTTCCAAAGGGTATTTGAGCGTAAGTGAATATAACGAGCCTAACTGGAATTGGAACTCGGTTTTCCGATTAACAACTACGAGCCATTATTTATTACATCAGCTTCACACCCAAGCTTACATTTACGTTCTGACCAGGCTCAACGTTGCTTAACTTCGGTGATCGTATGAGAACCAGTCTCTCAACGTGGTGTAACTGTAATGTCATGTAACTTCGGACGTAAATCTGTTTGCAGAACTGAAATTTACTCAAGAAAACGTATTTTCTGTTTTTGTTTTTTTTTTTCTTTCTAACGGAAGCGCTTGCCTAAACAAAGGGAGATAATAAATATTAGCTTAACTGAATCCAACCATTATGGATTTTACTCTTTCTCCAGTTCCTCATAAATAGCTTAGGGCGAAAATATATATATATATATATATATATATATATATATATATATATATATATATATATATTGTATATATATATAATTTTACTTAAATAATATTTTAATACAAAAAAAAAAATTGTAACCTAATAATATAGATACTTATACTTGATGTAAAAATAATTCTACATACTGTAAGGGATTCTAATACATTTAATTGTCCTTAAAAAAATATAGTATATTAAAAATTAAAAATTAAAATATTTCAAATCGTAGTTAAATAAAACGCATTCTAACATAAACACCCACAAAAATCTTTAAATATACAAATAGAAAAAATGCCGTAAGAATTTTTGCCGTTAACAATAAATTTTTAAAAAATCCAGACGACATGCATTCAATGGATGTCAGATTTCATTGGAAAATACATCGCTACCCCTACCAAAACGTAATTAATAACTGATACATCAAAATACAGACACAATGGACACGCAGACACCCTTTGTCTAGTGGAAGTAGATTTATCTGTATCCTTGGAAACATGAATTATGATTTTAGCTGTGTCTTTAAAACCCAGTAATTTTAAAAGTTACTCCAAAATTCGCTTGAGGATGAAATGGAACTAATGTCTTTAATTTAATTACCAAATTAAATTCGTAGCTTTTAGCTTCCATTTTTGAAGCATGGTTAGAACTTTGTAGCGAAAAAAAACATATTTTAAATAAATCAATTTATAATATTAATGCTCTGTAAATTTACATTGAGCACTATTTTGTAAAAATAAATATCTATAAGAACACCGGATTATATATCTTACTGTTCTGTCTTTATATATATATATATATATATATATATATATATATATATATATATATATATATATATATATATATATATATGCATAAACTAATCTAAATGCATTAGGTGAATTTGTTTGTTATTTTCTACTTGTATTTATGTTATGTACTGCCCCCCTTTGAACACAATAAAACCCAATATTTTTTTGCTTCGACCACCGTCGTGAGGGAATGAACGTCTGTCAAATGCCAATCAACAAAAATTGGCCACACAAATTCTCGCCATTTTTTTGAATTTTTTTTTTTTTACGAGCGGTATATTTTCACGCAGTAGCCATATTTTTCTTACCTTGGCAAGGTTTTCAATTAGGTTTTTCATTGTTCTTTGACATTTATTCCACATTTCTGCTATTTCCAAAATTCCATTTCGATCATTCAATAACTTTACACTTCCTTGTTTCTCCATTCTTCTCATCCATGCCAATATTTGTATACTGAAATTTTAAATGTAAATATCAATAAATGTATTTACACACACACACACATATACATATGAAGAAATATAGTTTTAAGGTGTGCTATATTTATGGGATAAAATGCTCAATATCAGAGAGAGAGAGAGAGAGAGAGAGAGAGAGAGAGAGAGAGAACGTATGTAAATATAAAAGTGAACATTGAAGTAAACACTCAGAGGCGTCAGAGTGTTTCATACTAGACACAATTATCAGACCTGTTTCATGCTAGGCGAAATCGTCAGGCCTGTTTTATGCTAGACGCAATCGTCAGGCCTGACGATTGCGTCTAGCATGAAACAGTCTGCCGCCTCTGAGTTCATTATATATATATATATATATATATATATATATATATATATATATATATATATAGAGACACATCCCCTCACCAGGTCCAATAAAACTGTCAAACTGACCAGAGAATTCAGAGCAGCATGTATCTATCCAGCTCTTATCTCAAATAACAACTTAAAAGAGACTGTTTGACCAACACAAGTATTGTTAAAAGATCCATGTTAAAACGATAAAAAAATTTAAAAAAAACAAATGAAAACTACAGACAAAAGTTCATTTTCTCCATCAAGACATCAAGTTTACTGCTACCAGCAAGCAGAAATATTTCTTCTCCCGATGATGGCCATTTTGGTCGAAACTAGTCGAGGAATGTAAATGAAATAATAATAAAAAAGTGAAAGAATATTAATCTACAACCCAGTGTGTCTGAAGATTTTAATTTTTTTTAATATTTTCTTATTGTTCAATATATATATAAATATATATAAAGACATTTTTATGTTTATACATTCTTTTTTATAGATACAAATATTTAAGTAAATGCTCTGTTTATAATAAACAATATTAACAACATTTACCGGCCTGAATGTCCGAGAAATTTTCATAGAAAATATGCG